ATTGATTGCCGTAACAATGTAATGCCACGGTTATATGCTCATGCAAACTGTACGAATTCAAATATAAATGTGGCCAGGCCATTTCATTCCGCTTTTTCTGTGTTCGATTGAAGTAACTACGAATAAGTGTTCAGCTTTTAGCATTTAACCCCAATTCCATATGCAAATGCATCAAATACAATGCAACAATAATAATTTTGTTCGTTTTATTTTACGTTTCGTTTGAATATCGACATTCGGGTTCGACATTCTTTTTGTCCGTCGTGTGTAATTGTTATTGGCAATGATTTTATTCAGACAAATTCCAAAGCGATTCGACCACTTAAAGACATAATCCAAATATTTCTTCTCTCATTCAAATTGAATTTTGTCAGTTGAATACACTATTTTGTGTGTGCTTTGTGTGGTCCATACAGCCGGTGTATATTTGTATGAGATTGGAGACTTTTTTTTGCGAATCTCGCTAATGAGCGCCATCTGATTTTAGTGTGAATTAGATGCAAAAACTGAATTTAATTCTGTAGCATTGAAATGAAAAAGTGAAAAAACAACAACAATAGCACGGCCACACAGAGCTGTACATCTATGCGTGCTGATGCATACATACACATATACGCTTTCTTCATTCTTTCATTCCATTGCTATACGTATCTCACTGGTCAACAGATCTATGTAGCCATGTTACTGTTGTTGTTTTTTTTCTCTTTTTCGATTCAATTCATTGTAATTGAGTTCAACTATGGAATACAAGATGGCACAGATGAGGGGAATTCGCATTTTGTCTCTTTATAGGCTTAGCCGGTTGGGTCCATATAAATGGAATCGATGCCAACGAATTTTCAATAGGGAAATAATAACAATAAAATTCAAAACAATCTCTTTCTGAGTTCAACGATTGACAAAAAGTCATAAAAATAAACTTAAAATTGAATCGTCGTTGTTTTGGTGGTTATTATGAAGATTTCACAATTGAATTTTACTGGAAATAAATTTAATTCGTTAAATGCAATATTAGGTCGTTGTCGTTGATTGGTCCAGCCACTCGATTTTATTTCCGACATGTTTGGCGTCTGTTTCGTAATTGTGTTGACATTTTTCAGCTACCAACTCAATAGATTTGTCCAAGACTTAGGTGTGTCATGCCAGTCAATCAGTGTCGATATCGTTTTAGAAGCTAAGAGAAACAATACTATTTATAGCCGATAGATTTTAACACATTCCGAGCAAATGTTAACATGACATTGAGCGCTATGACAAGAGGAAAAACAACGAGCCGCCTTTCAATGACTTGAAACCGCAATTATTTCAATTCGAATGAAACAAAAACGAAAAAAATATGGCAATTTTTGAATGTCATAACTTTACTTCTTATCATTGTATTATTAAGATATTATTTTAAACCACGACTGTTTAAGTTGTCAAGATCGTGTCAAAATAACCATGCAATGCTAACACATTAACGGTCGTTTTTGTTTTCATTTTCATGAAATGATTATGGTCAACGAACAGAAGTCAAAAACATGCTAAAGATTTGAACAAGTTCATACAAGAAAAAAAATACATGCTTGAAATCAATTCGCGGAAGTCAATACAACGATGAATTAACTTAAACAGAATAAAAAATTGCTTTATTTGTTATTCAAAAAGTGTGGAAAAAAATGTCATCATGCGCTTTGATTCACGTGAATTATTTCCCGCTCGGATCCGATTTGGAAAATTATAGTCGTTGACATTTTGATTCTTTTTTCTCCATCGATCACACAAGCAGAATGAGAAGGGAAACAAAATAGAGATGATGTTGTTTATTTGCACGCGATGTCGTACATTAATGCCGAGATTGTTGCCATTGCAGTTTTCGCATGATTTCACTTTTTAATGAGAAACGGTGACGCACACGACGAATACGGCCACAGAATGACACGACACGGGACACAGATAACTTGCAAAATGTGAGCTTAGATTTTGTGCTTTTTTTTTTAAATCGTAAACCAAAATTGAAAATGAAAACAAATAATTGAAACATATGTTCACTTTCATGAATTCGGAGAGCGCAAACAAAAGTGATCGGTATCGAAATGGCAAATATCAATTTCAGAAAATTAGGAAATGTTCGCATGGGGTAACAAACATACAGAAAAATCTATTAACAACTTAATCGTGATTCGCGTTTTAAAACGATCGCTATCGCAATTTTATGCTGACCGTTCACACATTCGATTCGAGTTTCGTTGCATTCCATTTGGAATTGTACCTACTAAGTTCAGGAGCCGGTCGCGGACGTGTTCTCAACTCAATTCCAGGCATCAAACGATATAATGCAGAGAAAAAAAATGAATATATAGAGAAAAAAACTATCCAAATTCAGCATGATCTGGTTATGAAATAATGTATGATTCACTTGGAGTTTACCATACACGATTTTTTCTCTGTCTCTGTTTTACTTTCGATGGGAAATTTGTTTTCTTTCTCTCATTAGCACTCATTTTTCATTTTTCAAATTAAAATTTTGTTCGTTTTGCTGTAAATGAAATTGCATTTGTTTTATATTGCCGTATCACATCCATTTCCAAGTGACACAGTCGTATGGCGCACACGAAAAAGGAGATCTCAATTATAAAAAGTAAATCGGAAAACATATGATGAAAGTGGCGAGCGCAATGCTCGATATGTGAGATAATAAATTTGTATTTTCATCTAACGTAATAACATATTTATTTACTCCGCGAATTTGTTGTTATTAATTATTATGTTTGAATTTTATAAGGTATTTTATTCCCACTTTGAACGTCTTGAGTACGCGGCCACAGCCACTCCAAGCCAATGTATAAATTCGAAAGATTTACGACGTAAATGTGACTTTTAATCGGCATACAATAAATGTAATTAATACTTGCTCATGGCATATACGCATACCGTGGCTATTTGTTGTTTTGCTCTCTTTTTTTCGTGTTCGTTTTTCTCTCTCTACATTTTCGTCTCTATTTCGCGTTATGCACTGTCTCCATACAGCGTAAAATGCGCTTACTATTACTTCATTCATTCTTCCTTGTTGTTGTTATGATGATCTCATGCCGGGCTTCGCTAAGCACTGCTCCGATTTTTAATTACTGTCTCTTATATCGGTGTACGAATGCGGAATATCAACGAAGGCTTTTTTTCATTTATTCGTTGAAGCGTATCAACATCGACCATAACTATAAATCAGCCGAACTGACCATTCTCATCATGCATTGAATACACATCTTAATTAGTTGATATTAAGTTCGTGCCTTGGTGCTATAAAATCAATGATTACTTCTCGCATTTGATCAGAATTACCCGAATACAATGTACGTTAATCATTCGCTCTATAAAGAGTGAATTATTCATTGACATTTTGTACAAATTAAATGCTTAATGTGACGTGCCATTTGATTGAATGATTGGCATTGAGTTGGCCGTGCGCGTTGAGGTTTCGTTTATTTTTTTTTTAGTTTTCTGTCGGCTTGGCGAATTTGCTTTTGATTTATCTTATGTCAATTGGAAGTTATCGGTTTGTGATTTGATTAAATTACTGATAGTAATTCGATTAACGCTTTCAATTTTAATGAATGCACATTAAAAACGATTGATCATTTCATCGCAAGGGATGCAGATCAGTAATTATAATTGAAATTTGTAATTTGTTTTATGATGAACTGCAATGCTAGCAAATCATTCTGGTAAATGTAATTGCTAATTGCTTTCGAACGGCCCTGAGCCGTTTTGGTTATTCAATTTTCCGATTCTATCTGTGATAGATAAATGTGCAATGATTTCCCTGCTTCCGGCAATTGCACCGTCGACTCGATATGACTTGGTCATGAGTGTTTTGCATATACATAGTCTCAATAGCATGTGTCATTTTTCAATTGCACTTGTGACTTAAATCGAGCGATAAACACATAATTGATGTGAACGAATCACAATATGTCCGAACCTCGACCGGAATATACCGCTTCTGGTTATATCTTGTGAATGAATCTACAAAATGAACGAGTCTACAATGCAATACGTTGCATGCACAGATTTTGCGTCAATCATGTTGAAAGAGAAAATATCCACACATTCTCGACTTTCAATGTGTGAAACTAATCGAGAGCTATATTTTCTCTACGCTGTTTTTTTTCTTCTTCTCGACAATTTTGTATATCGAAACGTGTAGGTCAACCAGAAAGAGTCAAAGGAAAAAAGAATCTAGAGAAGACGAGAAGTGTTAGTGTTTTAAGGATTTCAAAATTGATTGCGAAGCATGAAAAAGCGAAAACGAAAAATTGCTTTTTAATTCAACGAAAATTGAAATAAACTGAACGAGTCGCTGTTTTTTTTTTAAAGCTGTATGAGTGTGTTGTGAGTGTATTAGAGTGGAATGTATATTGAAATGACGAAAATTGAATCAGATATGCATTTGTTAAGTGTTTTGAAAGGCGCATGGCTATGAAATAATTCATGACGCCTTCGGACTATTTCGAACCTGTGCCGCATTCGATCTAATCGCTTAATAAGTTTATCACGTGCATCGGATGCGCGCACATAAAAAAAAACACAACGACGTCGTTTTCCATTCGATTCATTCATCGATTCACACATGCGATAGAGGAAGTGAGAGATAAAGCGAATAAAAAAACTAGAAAAATTACCGTAGCAAATCTCTTCGAATAATGTAGTATGGAATGGTGGTGATTTTAATATTACCGTCGTCAAGTGAACAAACACCTCTGCCATTATCATCATCAATAAACGGCTGTGATCAATATCGTTTGAATGGAGCGCGCATCATTAACAAAAATCATCATGAACATCGCAATCAAAATTCCACACCGAAACGCATTAAATTCCAAACCGATCCAATTTATCAATATTCGGCAGCAAACAATAATGCCGGCACATACACCACAGCAGCATCGGCAACCACAGCAACCGCATCGAAAAGTTTTGTTCGTCATGTGACACGTGTTAATATCTCGGATGTTTTTTCACAGATTGAAGTCGATGGTGACGTCGAACCGGTTACCAAGGAAGGTAGGTCCATTTTCACCCCCTTTTTTTTTGTTCTTATAGATTCTCACATAGGTTAAAGTTTCATTACTAATATTATAAACAAAGATGTAAATCACAATGCTTATCGAATTGCTATTATTAGTTTTCATGCTTATGCGAATTTTGAGTTGTAGTTCTGGTCACTTATAATAGAAATTCATTAGTTACACATGACTTCAACATTTGTTTAGATGAATTTATGTGAATTATTATCATTATTTATGTGTTCATTTTCTCTGGCTCGGTAAAAGTGTGTTCACGGTAAAATTATAGAATCTATTTCAACGTTGAATTAATTTATAGCTTGTACACGAGCTCCGTAAAATGTTAAATTATCAATTGGCCTGAAACGATATGCGACCGAATATAAGATGAAAGAAAAAAAATACAGAAGAAAATCGATGGAAAAGCGTGCGTGAATGTAACTTTGTTATTTTTTTAAGTTCAAATTGAAAGAAAAATTTCGCGTAAAATTGCATTTAACTCGTATTAACACCGTCATTTTTCTTGAATAAAATTGCAATGCCCATTTAGGGAATTGCACACATCCAATCTTTCCCGCTTTATTATTCAAAAGCTAAAACAAACCGTGCACAATCTATAAATGAATTGAATTCAATGCGGTGGAACATGTGGGGCACACTAGTTTGCTCAATGATTAAACAGTGACATATAATTAACGATAGACTGCTTTTTGATAAAATGCCAAATCCCCTAGCTACATGTTTCAAAGAATTGGAGTCGATGCGAATGATTGATGGACAAAAATAGGTGGATAACGTTTATGTGGACCATATTGTAAAAAAATCATGCATAGCAATCGATCGATCGATACGTGATTTGTGCACATTATATAGTACTTTCGTCTACTATGATTAGTCATATATACAGGCAACAACTGAGCAAAAGAATTTCTTTTTTTTTCCTTTTCATTTCGTTGAGCTCAAAAAGTGCAACTTTGTATGGCGGTGATTAATCGACGCGATTGGAATGATAAAATAGTGTACACTTTTCCTTGCATTCATTTCGTTCAACGCTTTTCGTGTGGTAGCATTTTCATTCGCGCGCAATGAATTTTGCGCGTGGTGCACGATTTTGTGCCAAGATATCATGAATTCAATACACACACACATATGTACAATGTGGTGAAAAGCATAGTCATATCGCTTTTCCATTAAATCATGTTGGGATTATGGCGACCATGATTAGTAGACTTTCTTTTATATCCATACTGAATCCACTGTTCAATGCACATTATCTGCCGAATTATTGCCACTCATGCTTTGTGATTTATGCGCTAGCATTTGGGGATGATTTGGTATCTAATCCATCGACACACATCAATCACATGCTGCTGCTTTCGAAAGGGCTTAATTATTATTATTGATTTGCAATGGATTATCCATCTACGTGCACAAAATCACTTGGGTACCCACATTCAATGGTGACCACTAGATTTGCTGACTTTCCATAAAATTAATGTTTGCATGACATTCATCCGTCATCAGAGATCATTGAGTCAGCTGGGGTATTTTGAGCAATTAGCTTCATTTTATGAACCATTATATAAACCATTTGTTCAGCGGTATTTGTTCTTTGGTGCAATCTGTTGAGTGACTGATGTTTTTTTTTTTTGGATGTAATATTTTAGATCAAACGAAAGTTTTATTATTTTCGGTATTATCAACCCCTCTCTTCTTCTTCGCACCTTCTGATTATTGAAGCTCGCTAATGGCCTAATCACCTAACGTTGCTCTGTAAGATCAAGGACACGGAATGATTTAAAAATTGTAACATTTACAATCAACAGATTAAAATAAACTTACTTTAGTTCACGTTCGGTTTGACGTATGTATGTGTATTCAAACAAGATAGCTTTTCGGACAATGTTTATTAAAATTCTTGATTCGAAAATAAAAATATTTTTAAAAATATTGCTTATTGAATATTCATATTAAAGAGATTGTGAAATGTAACACACGCAATAATTAAAAGAAAAAATAAAATTCAAAAATTAAATGCGTCAGCAAAGGTAAAATTTGTCAAGATGTTACATCAAAGATACAAATAACAAAATTCCTATCTAACGATGACAATTTGTTTTGAGAATACAAATAATATTATTAATAAAGTCTGTATGGTTTATAATTACAATTTTTGAATGTCGTCACGGAATAATAAAACTTCACTTTTCATTACGTCGAATTTTCCAATCTAGCCTAAAATACACCGCTGCCATGCAGTGTTTGATGTATTTTTCGTGTCTTGTTAAACTTATAGCTGTTGAGTAGATTAAGCATACGCTGAAAATAGTAAAGACTCTCAAATCACGCACTTCAAAATATGCACTCGCAATGAAATTGAAGCGAAAAACAAATTCTAATGTAGTGTAAATCGACAGTAATGCTTTCGCGCTACAATGATGTTGAAAATGTGAGATTGTTATCTTATTGATATATGCCATGGTGACTTAGTTACTGGCTATGAAAATCTCAACGCGTGACGCGTGAGAGAAATACTAATAAATAAAGTGAGAAAAAAGAAATAAAATGCCGCACAAACTAATGTTTACTTTTGCCAAGAAATGCAAAATCATTTTTTAACATCTATTTCGAATGGCGTAAAAATGGATCGTTCAGCGTGACATTTATTCCAAATATACATATATATATGTTTAGCATACAAACAGTGTGCCTTTAATGAAATTGAGTCGTTTGTTCGCAGTAAGCTAAAACTATTCTGGTTCGACCTTTTGAGCATTTCTCACACGAAGCCGTTTCAGGCTTCGACAAGGATTAATGGTGAATGTACGCCAGGAAATGTACACTTTTATTTTAGCACGAAATATAGATATATACATTGCCAGCAGGTAGCTTTAAACTCCATAGGATACTAAACAGAAGCAAAACTTTGTTTTTAGTTTGAACTAAATAAAAATGTCATTCACATTTTAAGCTAATGGTAAAATGTTGTTATGATACGGAAGTTGGGAGAGAATGATAATATTTTATGTTCATCATTTGCAAACTTCGAAGCGATTTGAAGCCAAGAACTTATTGATTTTCTATTCGAAAAAACAATCAAATGTTAGTATGTAAGACTACAATAATTATGCGGGCTTTGTGAATATCACCGAGTCAATGGTGGAGGCGGTGTGATATTTCTACTCATTTTCGTTTTTGGAAAATGTTATCTAAAAAATGTAGAAATTTCATATTCATTTAAAATTAATGACAGATAGTTCACAAGATGATTTTTACCTTTACCATACTTTTTACTTAAATAAACGTAAAAGAAATAATTTCCATTCTATCAAATGTAACGGTTAACGGGTGTAAAATATGTTGCCTATCTCTAGGCGAATTTGTTAAATTCAAATGTGAATGCAATGAATTTAAGCTTAAAATGCTTGTCTATTCCTCTGTTTTATAGAAGAAGTTGTAACAAAGAAGAAAACCGAATTAACAACAACGCGGCAAATTGAGACGAGAGTGAAACGGCAAATCGTATTAGAAGATGGGAAAGTTATTGAAGACTCTGGCCCGATTGTTGAAACAAACACCACCGAAGACACAAACAAACAAGAAAGTGAATCAGTTGAGGTAAATGCGCCACCGATTAAATAGATATTATTAATAAAATTTAGAGCGAAAAAGTTCGTGATTAATAAGAATGTGACTGTGTCACTTTTTTTGCAGCGTCTGAAGCCAGGTGAAGACGATGTCGATGGACCGAAAGCAATCGAACATTTTCCATCGGATAAAGATCAAACAGTAATAGAATATGTTGGCGATGACAGTAAATACGGCATTGATGAAAGTGCGCCCACAGTGCTTGCACCACGTGATGGTCTTGTACGTGAAATGAAAACCAAAAAAGTCGTTTCACGCGAAGAGATACAAGAACGAACCGAAACAGAAGATGTCAAGCATCTGGGAGACTTCTCAGACGAGGTAAGCCAATAGTCACATTGTCAAATTGCTCATTTTGATTATCTTCAAAACATATATTCCACAATAAGAGATCTTAAGAGTTAAGACACAATTACAGCTGTTCCTAGAATTTTACATTTTGCTGGGTATTTTTAGATTGAAGAAGAAAAAGTAAGAAGGAAAAAATAACCAAACCGCAATAATAATAACAACAAGCATGTGGAAGTTATGAACTGGAATATAAGTATAATGTCAACTTATCTAACGATGATCTAGAATAACGATGCGCGTATTCTGTTTTCTTTGTCTTGGCATTTTCACTTTTTTTCTACAATTGTTGTGCACAGCAAATGCTGTCATATTTGCGAGCAGACACTTTTTATGTGTGTATGTGTTTGGTTATGTAATTATTAGTTGCGGTATTAAAGAGACGTCCAATGTAGTAAAAAGTTGAATCAAGATTACGACACAACAGCATCGTTGACAATAAGATGCAATTATGGTCACTGTAGCATTTTATATGCATCCACGGCAAACACACACACTTTATTTTATTATACATTCTTGAATTCGATGGAGTCAACCAAGCACTTCTCAAGTTTATAATCTGAACGGTTTTGCTCAATTGTTCTTTTTTTTGTTGCATTTTGGACACACTTGGCGTAAGTTGTCATACATAAAAAGTCATTCAAGCGAATTTTAGAATATATAAAATTGTTTGGTTGTGTGTCATTTTTACCTGTGCCAAAAATGGACGATTAAACAAGCTTTTTCACTCGAACATAATGTGAGAACTTTTCTTTTTTGACAAACTTTTTTCATGTTCAACATTCTTTTTTAACAAATTTGATTAAATCTTTATTTACTTGATTGGGTTGAGATTTTGTGTTAAAAATCGGTTGAGCACCGACATCACAAAATTAACATGGATTCGACATGTTTTCGCAATTAGTTTATTCGCTTTGATTTGTTTTGATAAAGGTTTTTCGTGTTGTCTCTTTTTTGTAACCAGATAGCTTGGAAGTGTCACATTACATTAATGAAGACATAATTCTCAATTAGAAATTCAAATGACTCAAAATGAATAAGTCAAAATGATAAAATATCCAATTTGTTAAAATCACTCAAATGAACGAAAAAGAAATGGATTCTTTTACAAGCTGATGAAGATGAACCTCATGAATCCATCATATTTTGTGGCTTATATTCGACAGAAAGTATTTATCACGGTTTGTTTATTTTAATTTGATGGGACCGCACACGCCCATATTTTTCGAACTGCTTAACATTTCAAGCAATTAATAAAATCCCAATCAATTGAGTGACTGAGGTTGACGAATGTGTTCGTTCATTCATTCCAACCAATCGGTAAAAACAACGGTCATTCACAATTTCTTTCCGCATTGATTAGCAATCAGCTCTTTTTTTATTGGCTCGAGTCAAACGTGTGTGAACTTCGAATCTCAATTGCATATTGTATAAATCCCCAGTGACATATTACGTAATTGTTAAATTGTTCAAAACAATGCCTGTTTCTCATGCTACAATATACAGTTGAGAGGCACATGCCAAGCGGTCAAATTGTGTATAGTAACCCAACGGGAGAAATTTCTTTTTATGTAATTCATAGCACTCAATTAACATCAATGGTTGAGTTACATCGACTTTTCGATACAAAACAAACGATGTTCTTTCTCCAATGGGTCTTATGCAAAAAAAAAAATATATCGTCGGCGTCGTTCCCCAATTAAGAATAGTCATAACCAGTTCACATTGAGACCGAATAAACATCGATACAAATGCGAAATATTAGTTTTACATGTTTTGATATCGTTTCATCTACAAATTCCGGTTGAATACACTAAAGCTCAGTGAAAGAAGTAGCCGATTCATTCAAAATTGAATAAACATTTTCGTATAGTTCATGACAAAAGCATTAAATGGATGCTTGTTTTGAACACACACACACATATGGCTTTGGTTTGTTTTTGTTTTCATTTTATTATCCGAACATAATCACCTTCACCGCAATCCGATTGAATACCGTTTGCTGGTGAAATTGTCTTCAAATCATTATTTACTTTTGAACCTGATTTAACTTCGTTTTGCTTCGTTCGTTGCTCGTTATTCAATACAATTGGCATACCATTTACTAATTCGAATGTGTTCGACGATGCTTTTCATCGGTTCGAACGCGATCATTACAATTTTGTGCAGTGTTTGTTTTGTTTATTTCGTTGTTGTTGTTGCTTTTTTTTCGAAAATGAAGTACTTGTTTTGCGTTCAATTTCAATCGCATTCGGATTTTATATAGTTTTGCCGTAAATTGCATAAGAGAAAGTAAATTCAAATTGGGAAGAATTATTGCATTTCGTGCGCGAAAATTGGATATATTTATATTGAAACGCATGTGTTGTACAGCTCTACTGAGCAGCTGGGCGTTTAGCACGAAAAACAACTCTCGGCGCGGAAATAACAAAAGCAATGAAGAGAAAAACAAAACCGATTCAAATGCAATGCAAACGGAACAAACATATTGACTCTCCGTATACAAATGGCAGGCATACTGGTCAAATCTCTCGTCAAAATTTCCTATTTTCTATTAAGAAAGAATTCATCGCATTGCTTTTTTTAATTCAATTAATTATTTGAAACACTTTTTTATTCGTTAAAGCAAATACGGTTAGGCTGGTGAGGGTTTTCAATTTGTTTTGAGAACAATGTATTGTGTTTACTTTTAATTCGATGACCCAATGTAAACCCATCTAGTTTGTGGTATATTACACGCGATATTTCAACTAATTTCTTGATACACTTTTCAATTTTGAATGGCTTCTTTTGATCAATGCATTCATAGAAACCGCCCTATATACGCCAAATTCTGCCAGAACTATCCAATTTAAATCGAAACTAGAACACACGAATGCACACATAATATGCTTGAACAAAAGATTTCTCGTCATTTCCAAAAAAATTCTTTTGTGGTTACGATTAGCAGAACGCCAAGATCAAAGCAAAGAAAAAGCATCGCCCCGTTGCGAAGCAATTTGATCCAAATCGTGATTGCTACTTCCACCAAAAATTGCAGTAAAATCGCCGAAATGAAAAGAATTCCACGAATTTGTATCTGATTACAAAAAATACGGCCGTGTCGTTTCAGACTCGAAAAATATTCGCAATTTCGTGAATGATGACGAATAAATTTGTAAATTATATGGACAGAATACCAAAAGTCTGGAAAGAAACGGCGATAAAATGAGCAAAGAGCAGATAAAACGAAACCATAAAACGCATTTATCCGTTTAATGGCTTAATTTATGAATTTTTAGGCGTTGATGCGTTATCAAAATTGAAAAATTTACTTTAAAATGAGAACATAAATCAGCGTGTCTAAATTAACTGACCAGTACTGTTTCTTCATATATATTTTTTTTGCACATGAACCATAAAATGTTTGATTATTTTAAGTTACCAAATTACATGCTCGCAAAAAAAATTGCATATTGTCCGCCCACTTCATCATAATACACTGATAGGTGCTCTGTTTTTGATTTGACGTCAGTTTTGCTCTCGTGATGGGAGAGATTCTCGCTGATGCATTCTCTCACATTGGACAGCTCAATCGATCACCTTAAAACTTAAAGCGAAGAATTTATGCGTTTTTTTATGATTTTTGGCGCCGGATATGGTTATTTACGTCTATTGGTTGTGTCTGATACGCTTTTAACTCTTTTCATTAATAATTCGTCTATTTTTCAAGATCTGTATGCACAGTCAAATGGCAGCAGTCCAATTTTACAAACTTGTTGGAACTTGAGCGTAGAAAGTGCTACCGATACACAGACTTTGAAATGTTTGAAAACAAACAATGTCAGAGCCCCAATTAAGTTCAAAATCTTCTTTCTTTTCGTCGAACACTTCTCTTCCACCAAAGCCGTTAGATGTTAAGAGCTCTTTCTTATGAAAACCCCGTCTTCTTGCCAATTAAATTTTATGAATCGACCCATAAATTCTCGTCTGTTGTTTTCTATTTCATCTTTTGCAAAATCTTTTTCGTAAACAACACACAATAAAATCTAAAGTCAACCCAAAGGTTCATTAAACATATTTCTCTGTAGATTATCCGAAGTTTGTGTATATTTCATGTATAATTTAGGCATTTGGTACATGTTTATAAAGTCCATCGATATGTTCTCACTGCATTGTCTTCAATCAATAAACGGATCATTTACGAATGAACAACTTTCCGCATACGACTTGTCTTTCGGCCTGTAAATTTGCTATGTCTTAAAATCGAATCTTATGATGTGCCTGTTTCTCAAGCAATCTTCTCTCGGTTCTCTTTATAATTTGTATTCAGTAGGAATTTCTCGGTTCTTTAAATAATTTTGTCCCCTGCTATGAAATTCATAAGATTGGACTTGTAAAAAACAAACTTAACTAATGGGCACCGCACACAATATATGCTGGTGTCTTTTTTACATTTTTCACTAAAAAATGAAGAGAGCATACAATGTCTTAAAAGGAATTCAATTTTTTTTTCGTTTTGTAATCAAACAAAACATTTTTTGGGATGAAAGAACATTAATTATAATTTTGATCGAAAATTGCTAACAAATTCAATAATCTGCGACGTGATGTTCGTAAAATGTTCGTCAATCATCAAAAGTGTTGTTTTGATGGTTTTTGTTGAATAAATTATTGCACCATCCTTGCGCTTATCCGTGCATATTGAAGGCTTCTTTAAACTCATCCAAAATAATGATTATTATCTGCAAAGTTGGCAACAAAGATTTCGACTTTCAAAGTTAATTGGTGTATTCGGCTAAATAGACTTAAGCCCATGAGCGCTGAAAAGTCGCCGTGTCACGTAAAAGACAAGAAGAGACGAAGAGATGAAAAGAGATGGAACATTGCGCGCGCGCATGTTTTTGCATTATTATTGTTGTTTTTTTCACACGAAATTGATTGTTTCACTGAAAAATTACTAAAATGGTCCTTTTTATTGTTATGCGATGCCA